AAACAGAATGGGTGAACGCTTCGCTTCTGTTTCTGAGGATGAATTATAAACAATTATTGTTTAAAAAATGTATAATAAAACAATTATTGAATTCGGTTTTCGCATGATATCATGAATTATCAAAACCTCGTTTCTGTATTATACAGACCTCGGTTTTGATAATTCATGATATCATGCTCAACCTCATCCAATAATTGTTTATTAAATACTGCTACAATACAGTTAACTCGCACAGACACTGTTGTATGCGGCAAAAGGGGCCGTCTTAGGCCCGGTTCAGACGCCGGACTTTTCATGAACCGAACCTAATTCGAATAACGGCTGACCCAAATCATTTAGACCAGCTGATCATGATTTGACCCAAACGCGCCGATCTTAATTTCGGCTGAACTAAGTTCAAAAGTCTAAAAATGCTCATTTCGGTCAAACTACTTACACAATACGTAAAAAAATTTATGCATTAGGTTAGGCGTCTGATTCAAAGCCTTTCCAAAGTCGCTCCAAAGGCGAAATTTCCAGCCAGGCTAGGCGAAAAGAACGGCTGAGCTGTGTCAAATTGAACCAGGCGTTCCTAATTGATTCATGACGCCGAACTTTTCATGTACTTTATTCAATGTATAAGGTTCGGCTCATGAAAAGTTTGGCGTCATGAGTCGTTTCGATAACGTCCTTTTCGCCAACGTCTTACGTATCCTCCGACCCAAATACCCCGGCAAAATCAGAGGAGTTCCTATGGGTCGGTGCAGGGTCGACACTTGTTTTACGTTTGTACTTTTTATTAGAGGGTCTTAATGGGGTGGTGGCTTTTAGGGTTATCGGCTAAAATTTTGGCTCTTTTACGGCTATCGGTTAATTTTCTTCAGTTACGGTTAACAAAAAAGTTAAAAATTAACTTCTTTTGTTTCAAAAAGTTAAATATTAACTAACTTTTTTTTTTTTGTATCTTTAAATCAAAATAAAGGTCTTCGGATCATCTCGGGATGAAACAAGCTATTCTTTTAAAAAATTTTAACATTTGATAGATCATACTTTTTGTAAAAGTATTCCACTTCTAATATTATTGTACACATAGAAATGTCAATAGTCAATTTAAAAATAATCTTTGTAAAAAAGCACAAGCAGACACGCAAACGCCCAACTCAAGGCCGGGGCGTGACATTCATTATAACAGAAATGGCCGTTTTCACACTAGAGACGGATTATTCGTGTGAGACGGGTTATCCGTTTGATGTTTCGCGTCAGATAGGTAATACTTCTTAATCTGAAAATGGAGATTTTTAATTTTGAATGAACAGTCCGCCTGACGTCAATTTCGACGGACATTTTTAAGACGGGATTATCCGTTCCAGATAGCCTCTCTACAGCCGCCGCCTCCCCTCAGAAAAAATTGGAGAAGGGGTGTCTGTAGGGAGGGCGCAGCTGTACACAGGCTAATCTCCGACGCATAATCCACTTCTAGCTCTAGCGTGAAAACGGCCAATAACAAAATTCCCGTTTTCAGTGTTTTTAATGATAGCGAAGGACTGTACGGAACGACTGTCTGCCGTTACCTTGTCCGTAGGCCTCATTATTCCGCGCGGCTAAAGTGTTTCGGGTCACGTGGTCCGAGTGACTTCGCCACCGAAATGCCTTGACCAAGATAACGTGCATGGGAAGACACCGTAGAGGGACAAGGCGTGACAATGTCTACCGTAGCGTCAGAGAAAAACAAGGAAATGCTGTTCAGTATCGGCAACGTGTTTTACAAACAGTGGCGTCTCCGCGTGTTGTTTCACTAGTGTCTCGAGGGCATGACCTCCTGAAAATCGCAAATATTAATCCCCAGTAAGAAGCCACACTTTCACTATGGAAAAAATTAGTTTCCCGAGAGATTGGCGCAAATGGAGCCTAGGTCGCTTCGCCCAACGTGCGTAGGGAGTCACACTAGCCGGGAAATAAAAAACGCAAACATAAGTGAGTTTAGTACCTCCCTTAAAAAAAGCAGATCTAGGGAACAATTTCTTTTACGGTTAACTGTTTTTTACCCTATTTACGGCTATCGATTAAAATTTTTTAATTTTTACGGCTATCGACTAAATTTTTGGCCGTTTTACGCTTATCGGTTAACCACATTGAGACCCCTTATTATAGGTGCCTTTTTTTTGGGGGGGGGGGGGGNATCGAGGAAACGTTTTTTTTTCCGGTTAGGATGCTAGAAAAGATAACTCTCCAAGGGCGATCAGTTGCTATCAGGCTAACAGACAAAAGTGTCAGTATTTTCAAGGAAACCATTAAAAACACAGAAAAGGATAGAGCAGCTAAACTTTGGAATAAAAACGTTCAAAGCAATAAAAGCCTTGCTAAGTAAAATGAATTGCACTCTTGACGGAAGTTCGTGCTGCGACGGTCCGGCAAAACTTAACTTGATATAACTTGCTGTATGGGCATCCTCTACCGGGATCGAACCTGGAATGCCCATACCTTATCCCCTATCGGGTATACCCATGCGGTATCCCCTACTGGGTATACCCCTACGGCACTGATGATTTAGGTATCCAAAGATTTCTAAGTTACGAAACTCTGGGAACTTCAAGTTACTTCTTTCTTCAGCTGCATTGGATAGATCGATATTGTGAGACTGTACGGGAATTTCTCTGTTAAGGAGCGGACATAAGGAGTTCAATCTTATTTGTTAAGAAAAATAATGGACAAGATTTGTACGTACGGTAAGACACTCTCTTTTATTGAAACAATGAAAAGAAAGCTTTAATTAATTAATGCCTGACACATTGAAACAAACTAAACTGACATGCAAGAAATAAAACAAAGATGCTATTAAGGTAATGCGAAGGTTTGACAAGAATCTCAATGTTACGAATAAAAACATTCCATTTTTCAACTGTTTGAGAGATAATCTAGCCTGCGTGCCAGGCGTTCCAAAAGGGAAGGAGAAGGAGATTTTGGGTACGTGAGAAGCGTGAAGGCGCGCGAGGAATGAGGAAGGAGAACGCGTTCCTCTTCTCGCTTCTCCCTCGCGCGCGGTCTCGCTCTTACGTTCCCTTCTCCCGCTGCCTTTCGAACGTTTGCCACGTATGCCAGAGATTATCAAGTTATTCTATCATCGTATTCATCTTCCTAGCTAATTGATATAAATTTTACAAGGTGCGATTTTAATCCTCGAAATCTAATCCGCTTTTAATAATGATCTTGCCTCGAAGCGGTTTGGCTACAAAAGGAATCGTGCCGTTTGATTTATTAAGCACGATTTAATTAAATCGTTTTCACTTTCGGATTGGATTAAAGATTTTCCAGACGAAAATATTTTAAATGCGACGGTTACCTCTTCCGCAGATTTTTTTGTCGTTGAGATGAAAGATTATATCACGACCTTTACTTTGACTACATATTATAGACTTAGGAAATGACCAACAATGTGATGGTATACATGGTAACCCGAGAAAGAACGGGTTCCCCTGAAGCTCTAGTGATATATATATATTTTGCATCCATAACATTTCATCTACAAAAAGTATCGCCAATCAATCGCTCTTAATCATAGCCATTTTGTCTCGTCAAGCAACGAGCAGTAGCGATACGTGACAAGACAGGCTGCATCGGAGACCAATCCCCTACGGGCTCAGCTGGTTATTGTGTGGTCACGAAAGGTGCCTCCCCGCAAAAAAGCTAGATAAGCAGTGCGTGACAAAACAAAGAGCTGCTGCACAGGACTAACATGACGGCATAACAATACAAAATCTTGATACTGTTATTAGAGTTTACTATTGACAATCTGATATAAGACGGAAGTAGTTCACAAAAGGGCTAAAAAAAAATAACCAAACTTCCTTGCGCTTTACAGTCTATATTTGTAGAATGCTATTCTAAGGAAATTAAAACGGCGCCAAAGTTAAAGACTCCCCTTATTAGGACTGGGGCCTAGATACTTCTTCAATCATTATCCGAGATACTGAATTCCACCCAGTGTGAGCATCACCCAGGGTCCAGCCACTACACTGTCCTACCCATAATTCCACTCTAACAGCGCCTTGTGAGATGTTTTCACAGTATCCCTCAAATGACCGATGATGCACCTTCGACCCTCATGTTTCCCTGGAATGAGACTCTGAGCGCTGAATTAGACTGCAGTTTGTTAAACGCACAGTCCTGGAATAAAAATCAAACAAATCAAACATATTGTAGTAAGGCGAGCAACCGTGTGTAATGATTGATACTAACAACTCCAGTCAAGATTACTTTCTAATTTTTAAAAACTCTGTAATAGCTTCAATTTTCGTTATCCTTATGGCCAGGAATCATTTTATCACCCAAGGTGGCTTTCCTTTTTTCGTTCAAAAAGAACCGAAGTAGAGAGAAATGTAACTTAGTTATTTATGTAATGTGTTGGCAAATGGTGAGTGAGAAGGGAGACATTCTTCTTTGAAATATTTTGATTTAGAGAGGAATTACTTTCCTTTAGAGTTTGTTATGATTCTTATTCTAATTACCTTAATCTTTCCGTTATCAGTACCGCTCTGTGATTTCCACACACATTGTTTCCAACTGGTTTGTGGTACTTCACTTGCTTGACTTGCTTTGGCGCTTTCTCCTTTCTCTCCTTTGTCTCCTTTTCTTCCTGAATTTCCCACAATGCCTCACTCTCCTTTTATTCCCAGAAGCCCTGTTGACCTTTCATTCCCTGAATTCTTCGTGGTCCACTTTTCTTAGGGGGTCCTTCGCGCCCTCTGTCTCCCCTTGGACCCGGCATTCCTTGTGATCCTTTATCACCAATTTGTCCTTTTACACCTTCTCTTCCCTGGGGTCCATGTGGCCCCGGGACACCCGGCACTCCCGGTATCCCATTTGATCCTGGAATACCAGGGAAACCCAGCATAGATCGCTGAAAGTAAAGATGACTTGTAATTAGCAGAGACGATTGTAAATGACTCGGGGAGGAGGGGGGGGGATGTACTCCTGGGAATTTTCGG